CACCACTGTATTACATTTTATAGATTTTTGAGCAAAGAGGTGGGAATACACCAATCAGCAGTCGACGCATATACATCTGTAATACTCATCCCCTTAATGTACTGGCTACCTCCTTAATTCATAATGCTAATCTTGCATTTATTTTTTTTCGAGGGAATCATCACTTTCGTCCTGCCTTCTTATCTGCTCTTGGCTTCCTCATCAGTTACTGAATTTGTGAGAAAACTGTCGCCATCTAATGTCCTCGTGATATCTCAGTGCCTTTGGCTATGCTACCAAATATCCCTGGTGTTCTTACACAGACCTTCATGGGACATAATGTTCCTTACTCAGCGCTCCCCTCTGGATTAGGCCTAAAAGGCCAACCATGAACAGTAATAATATACAGAAGTTTCATTTCGGAAGGGATGTCATGCTGAATGTTATTTCCAATTTCCCCCACACTCTGTCAACACTCGTAGTTCTCATCTCACCCAGAAGCACCTCTTTTGTGAGGCTAACGGGTCTTGATTGCCCATTCTAGACCAAGCCATACACAACATGTTGTGTTGCAAGAAGAAAGCTCATAAGATTAGAGAAAATGCATTTCCCCCACCCACCCTCAGTATGTGGACACTGCTCTGGAAATTCTAGCTAAGCACAGAGGGAAGCTTGGAGAGAGAGGCAAAAGATATCTGGGTCCCTACTAATCTCAGGCTTCAATACCCCGCTTGACGACAATAATCCGTTCTGTTAAAATTGCTGTTAAGCAATATCATCGTCAAGCGAAAGTAAAAAAAACCATTGGAATGCAAAAAAAAACCATTGGGAAGCTTGATGTACAAATGTGAGATTAAAATTTTACACTCTGAGAGCGTCTCTAAATAATACGCTTATTCCGTATTTAGAAGCAGTGTACTCTCAAGAGTCAAATACAGTCTGTTCTTTCTAATGGTAGCTTGCCCCATTCTGTATGGGGAAAACTAGTTCTGATTTTGTTTGTTATTTACCTCTTGGATGGCAGATACCAAGGCAGCTTGAGTGGTGATGTCCAGGGTCTGGATAGAGCCGATGACCTTGTCTCGGCGTTCACACTGTTGGAGGTTAACAGAACACGATCAGGTTTCTCTTCCTTGCTTCTTTTGAAACAACAAAGGAGGGGGTTGGCAACCCACTGCCCTTGGGCATATGCCGGCTGGCCCCGATTTCAAAAGCCCATGCAAGAAATCAGTACACACTATGGGAAGGGCAATCCGTCAGAACCACAACAGAATGTCTTTCCTATAATTTGAGAGGTGGCTCATACTCAACAATTCTATCGGCTACTGAAAGTCTTTGCTCCAATGAATGCAGCTGAGCAGTGGTGACAGTGCATTGATCCAGATACAAAGTCACTCTGCACATGCACAGAGGCAGTTGTTATTTGTGATCTCCAGACTGATAATAATCATATGCCGTCAAGTCCAGTTATGACTTACGGCAACCCCTTTCAGGGTTTCCTAAATAGAAAGGCTTTACCATTCCCGGGGGGGGGTGCCTCTTGAAAATTAACCTCTAAACCTCGGTGGGCCAAATCATGCATGGTGTAGGACATCTATAATCAGATTTTCTCTGTTTATGTGCATGCTTTTTAGTCTAGAAAAATGAGGGAAAGGAAGGGATAAGTGAAATGAATAAAAATCATGCATGCTACAGGGAAGGAGGAGGAGGAGAATTTTCATCATCGTCACCATGAGAACTTCAGATTATGTAATGAAACCAAATGGGTTTCTAATCATCATCATCATCATCATCATCATCATCATCATCATCATCATCATCATCATCATCATGTGCCGTCAAGTCAATTCTGACTTGTAGCAACAACCCTTTAAAAGGATTTCCAGGTAGAGAATACTCAGGAATGCTTTACCCTTATCTTCCACTAGGGGCGCCCTGGGACTGTGCAGCTTGCCCAAGGCCACCCAGGCTGGCTCTACTTCCAGGTGTGTGTGTGGGGGAATCGAACTCTCAACCCTTGTAGCCAGATCCCTAAATCACTGGGCGATCCACCAAGCTATATTTCAGACCAGAACCCTAGAGTAGAGAATAAGGCTATTTTCAGGTGGGTCTACTCCGCACTCATCTCGATCACAGAATCATAGCTCTGTAGAAACTGGAATGGAACCTAAGTGTACGAGTTCCTTTCCTCTGCCCTCGTCCTATTCTCTTTTCAGCTCCAGAAAGAAAGCGCCCTTTCCAACGGTACCTGGACAGCGCCTCCCAGTAAGAGCAGCAAAAGCTTCTTCATTTCACCAACAGCCTGGGCTGGGTCGTCACGCCAGAATGGAACCAAGGGGAGAGAAAAAACTCAAAGTGAGTGAAACTCCATATTTAGAGGATGCAGATGCTGCAAAAAATATTGCATGCACTGCCGGTTGTTGTCTTCCATTTCTCCCTCCCATAACCTAGATTTCAAAATTGAATGCAGTAGGATTCCCCCATATCCGCGGGATCAGTATCCGTTGACTGACTGATCCACGGCTTGAAAATATAAAAAATATTAAAAGTCCTAGAAATACATATTTCTAAATATAATGTTATGAGAAATGGGCAGTAGAGGGATCCAGAGACCATGCTATTTATAGTGTTTGATATTAAAACAGTGTTCACTATTATCCACGTTTTTCAGTATCCACGGGGGAGGCTTAGAACGGTTCCTCCACAGATACAAGGGTTCTACTGTACATACAGAATGAATAAACAACCGAAACAGGCTGACTGGTTATCCCAAGTCCAGATTCAAATTTGTCTGCAAATCAGGTCCCAGACTGGGAATAGCAATTGTGTGCATGTGCTTATGTTCTCCTTCTGGTGTGAGGGCGGACAGGGAGAAGGCCTTTTGCACATGTGCAGTCACACCCTTTAAAAAATTAATCTTCTATAATTAATCTTCCAATCTGAGTCTTTGGTCTACTTTCTAGAACTAGGTGGCCCAGATCCGAATTAAGCTTGAGTGAAGTGGCGGCTTTCACGCTGGTAGGCAGCTGATATCTTGAAGAAATAGATCCGAGGCCACGTTTTCCCGCCTCACAGGGAGGTCAAGAAGGGAAAGATCCATCTGTTTTACTGTCCGCACACCAAACGTTTCCCCGGTGGTCCTACCTGTGAAAGGATGATGGGCCAGGAGGTAGATATTAGGGGGTGAGGAAAGTATCAGCTGTTGCAAATCATTCTGAGGAAAAAGAAGAGAGGAGGAAGAGGGGAGAAAAACTGTAATTAATCAGGTAATGTGGAAATTCATGATCACTGATCATCAGCTATTAGCAGTTTTATTTTATTTATTGGATTTCTATCCCGCCCATCTAGACCAAAGGTCTACTCTGGGCGGTTATATCCCATCCATCTGAACCAGGTGAATCACAGGGAAGCCAGGTGTTGCAGGGTTGAATCTGGGTAGCAAAGAGGGCAGGCAGCCTCTGCCACAACCTCCCGGCCTTCCCTCGTCCCTCTGAGCTTAACTACAATCATCCCACTCACTGGGAGGGAGAGAAATGCATTTTCCTGGCATAGTATATGAAGGCAAACGGTCCTGGTTGCAACCCAGAGGATTTCAGAGGGGTTTGCTCTTGAGCAGGCAGTGAAGAGCCATTCACTTTACAAAAGACCCGCTCCTCCTCCAGGTGGAATGGGCCAAATCTGGCTGCTGGCGTTTTTAGACTCTTGCTACGGCAGGAGGACGGCCACTAGAACTCTTACCGTGAACCACACAATGGAGGACTTGCTTGGCTGCTGAGGATAACGGCTCCTGAATCAGACGTGATTATTTCTATCCTAAATGGTGCAGGGCTTCCGTCTTCTAAGACATGGGCTGCCGGGAGCAAACTGAGAATAACCCACAGGAAAAGTGGCCGCAATTCAGACTTTGAGGTGCACCCACCTGGTAGAAGTCGCGCAGCCGCTGCAGGAGAGTCTGGAGTGTTTGCAACCTGTAGGACTCGTTGGTTGGTTCACTCCACGAGAGTCGTCTGCCTTCAGAGATCATGTCTCTAAGAAGTGACACCCGGGGGGGGGGGGGAAAATA